CTGAAACTTTGGTGAGACCACCAAAGATCATAATCGGGCGTATCAAGGATTCGAACGATCTTTGTATCCTGTACGACTTAGGGAAGCAGCTCTACACAGAGACTTCGCGAACCTGAGACCACACAGCCGTCAGTGAATTCCAATGCATTCGAGACATCTGTTTTTGTTTGTTTTTGTGTTATGAAACGCCGCAATATTCCAACTGTATGTAAATATAATTAAGTCTGAACCAAACACACCAACTTATTTTATACATATTATAAGCAACGTCCCAACCCCGTCCATCATCGCCTCCCCATTGAGGTTGGACGATGAAACTGAACCCCACCAATAGAAAGCAACTGCAATTCATATCCCCTTCATGAAATAGCAAATGAATATCATACCGTCTTAGATTCTACCCATTTAAATAACCACAGGCTAAAGTGTACATATCAAGTCAGTATGGCGACAAGCCAAATATAATAATAACAATAATAATCATCATCACCATTTGTTCAAAAGAAAAGCCAGCATTTAAGAAAGCTTAGTGTTATCTGTTCAATTATAATGAAAGCCAAAAGTGAGTTTGGTTTAACGCCGCTTTTAACAGTATTCCAGCTATATCGCGGCGTGTCAGCTTAATGTGGGAGGAAAGCCCGAAGTCGTACAGGTCTCAGACGTTTACCACTTCGGAGAAACCCACGAGTACGAGTATGGTGCTGACAAACCTAGAAACATAATCGGGGCGAACCGGGATTCGAACCCACCACAATCATAGGTTTCTGGCGTGCCCAAGGGACGCAACTCTGCACAACGAATCGCCTGAGACGACTGGGCCATCCGTGCCCCCTGAAAGCCAATAAGCCCTTTGTAAAAACGTAAACTGTTAAACTCTGTCTGTCTGTCTGTCTGTCTGACTGTCTGTCTGACTCTCTCTCTCTCTCTCTCTCTCTCTCTCTCTCTCTCTCTCTCGATGTATATATATGTACGCGCCATCATGTTCTATTCAGTCATGTTGTACTTCATATGCCGTTACACGCGTCCTGAAATGCAATAGATTTCAGTCTGTTCAGTCGGCTGACACGCAATCAATCAATTCTAACCCGGAATCCAACAGGGAAGACATAATCAGTCACGAACAGAGATTATCGTCACTGCATGCCTCAACATTTGTCAGTCACAGCTGCTTCCTGTTTTCATCATGGTTTGCTGGGCTTGGTTTTTTTTATACACGCCACATGTTTTACAATCGCGACGCAAGAATCACCAGAATCAACAAATCAAACAACAGTATAAATAAGTAGGGGTAAAATCGTTTAAATGACAAAAAAAATAGCATTTCTGTTCTTCTGTAATGCATTTGTGAACGACCACCGGTAATGCTGGATCCTGGCTGTAGACGTGTTTACAACGTAACGTTTAACGGGGATGGTTGCAGTATCCCAACGTGTGGAGAACTTGGGATACGTTTGGTAGGAACCAAAATAGATTCAATTTGTCTGGTAGCAGATAAAATCATGTCAATAATGTTTTAAACATGTGATTGGATACTGAGCTATTGCTGTTCAACCGGAGAGCGGCACATTGTATGTTGAAACATAAAGCTGACTCATTAACCCCAAAGTGAGTGAGTTGGGGTTAACGCCGCTTTCAACAGTTTTCCAGTCATATCACGGCGGGTCAGCTTAATGTTGGAGGAAAGCCCGAAGTGATGCAGGTCTCAGACGTTTACCACTTCAGTGAAACCCACGAGCACGGGTATGGTGCTGACAAACCTAGAAACATAATCGGGGCGAACCGGGATTCGAACCCACAATCATTGGTTTCTGGCGTGCCCAAGGGACGCAACTCTGCACAGCGAATCGCGGCGCCTTAGACCACTGGGCCACCCGTGCCCCCTTAACCCCAAAGAGACATATTAATACGTTTTACTATTTTAAGCGGGACAAAAGAATATGATATTTTGTCCAATATCCTTAAAGAAGTGCGAAATAAATAGCTACTTAAAAACACACAAAATGCAGACCATGGGTATTAACCCTTATTTGTCGTATACACTGTTTAAATGTGGAAATGATTAAGATAGCTTGTCTGGCATCTGCAGGTACATTTTTACAGCGCATTCGAAACATACGATGTGCAATTTAAGCTATTAAAACTGTCTTCCAAACAATCAAAGTCTGCCGCACTGAATGAAAAGTTCTCATTCCCAATCATTCTAATCTAATGGAAGCTTGGTGTTACCTTTCCCATAACAAAATTAGATTGTTTCCAAAAATGTGTTACATATTAATAGAGAGAGCCCAAACTCAATATTACCAATTTAATACAAGCAATGTTTGGAAATGGTGGACTCCCACGCATTGACAGTTGGAGTGCATGTACATTAATGTTCTTTCCCAGCTTGGAACGAAAGCCTTTGCGGTTTAATCAGACGCAAAATATTGCGTCTTTAGCGCATACAAATTGAAACTTGGCCACATAAAGTTACTTTGCGAGTCCCGGCAGATGCAGTTAAAACTAATTTAAGTTGTTTGTTGAATGTTACATATAAATGACATTTATATTCTTTACGAACTGTAGTGTCAGTAGTTGATTTACCACAATCTAACAATGACATTCTCATTAATAATACATGTTGAGGTTTTCATGTTCAGTTATTATGACATCATCAATACATTTCCTGGAAATCATGAAGCATACTACATGCAGCCAGTCTCCGACTCCTATGACCACACCTCCAATTATTAGTGAGAGACTCTGGACTCGAAATATAAACAGATGTCCACACTTTAATGTTATAACGGTGACAGGAAATTTTGAAAGACACTGAGACTGTTATGTTCTCTTATATATTGCATTTAATGATCACAAGACAGCACTATCTATTTCTGTTCCAATAAACCGTCATAAATTCTCCCAATAACCTCAAGGAAGAAAACAAAATCAACAGACCGCAAATTGAGTGTACGTTTCAAGGTTTATATGCAATTGGAACTTATCATCATGATTAAACGTGACTCGGAAATAAGGACTACGTGTGGTCTTGCAGTCCCTTTGCTAGCAGACACGCCGAGCATCTGAACACGTCTTCTAATTACTTGATGGAATCGGCTATCGGTTCCAACACGTATGTACTCTGTAATGATACTGCAACGCGGCACCGGCATGTTATTTTCAGTTAGTGGGCAGATTAATCAATACTGAAAGTAAACAGAGAATATTAGCTAGGATTTACACTTCTACTTCTTCCCTCTCTACACCAACATGTCTGACATCACCTCCTTCACACTGATTTACTTTGCAGGATCGAATCGATCACAGGATTACACGTTAATGAATGGAGTGAACGTCTATGTTAAATATCCCTAATATATTGGACTAAATGTATTCCCCTGTGTGGAACTTGTTCAAGATGACCGAGTAGATCCTGTGAGAGACGAAACTAAATATAACATTACTCCACTAGATGGAATGAAAACAACACCTGTGAAAGCAGGCTTTTGAAATAATTATTGAAATATATATAGCTTTTGAAATAAATTATTGAACGAACATTTTTGCCCTATAACAGTCAAGATATTTTGTTTATTGATTAATCGTGAGAGGGGTGATTGGAATAATTATTGCATAGGCACATTTGAAGCATTGTGTGAAGGCTAGGAGGAATTGTATGCAACAGAGATTTGACTGAGTATATATGTTTTGTCACACAATAGTAAGGGTGCAAAAAGAAATGATCCTCTGGTGTATTTTTTTCAAAATGAGGTGCGAGGTCGGTCTTTTCATATATTCTTTTATTATATACTTCAGTGTGAAAGACTGAGTTTTCTGAAGTTGAGAAAAGTGATATTTTCATTGCAGTTAGCATAACACTTGATATTTCACTGCAGTGAATATAACACTTTGACGGAACTATTGTCATACAAGAGTTTCCTCGCCTCAAATTGTCTCCCTTTATCGTAAGTGTCTAGCCCGTACACAAACTGTTGACGTCCTTTTTAAGTTAGTTTTACACTGATAAGGCAAAATAATGACTGATGATCATTTATGGAGTTAACATCTTTTCTTGTCGTTTGCTATTCCCTCGAAAATGTCACGTCGTAAACTGTAAATTTCTCATTTAACTCGTCAATAGAGACTGTTCGTTTCGCAAAGCGTCATTTTTGTTACTTGAACAGCGTGTATTCCTTCGCTTCCAACAGCGGTTTCGTAGCTTTCAAGAATATTATTTTTAATTTGATTTCTATGTAATTATATAAAATTGGAAGATAAATAATTTTCGTGACCCTAAATATTTTTGGAGACATATTTTTTAAAGATTTTGCAAACTCGGAACTACTTTTTAAGTCGCAATTAAAAGAGGTGATGGAGGTAGGAGAGTTTACGTTTCAATGTTTTGCATTTGTAATGAAACAAAAAGAAATTCCGGCAGAAAACAAAACAAAAAGTATATAATAAATAGGATATTGCATGTGTCGAATGGGGAAAGGAGATATTTATTGAAAACGAATGAGATGAGGGAGGAACACTTTTTATTGTTTTATGACCAAGAATGCCAATAAACACAAATGTTTTTTTTAATACGATGTCTTGTCAAGTATGTCATTTAATGAATAATAGAGCATGCTTTGGGATTCGTTAGGAAGCGAGTGAGTGTTGGAGTAATATTACGAGCAGAAGACTAGTACTCATTGTCCATTTTATTACAAGCAGACTCACTCTCTCTCTCTCTCTAACTACCCCCCCCCCCCCCTCTCTCTCTCTCTCTCTCTCTCTCTCTAACTCTCTCAATCGTCTTCAACCTACCCTGCATCCTCAACATCCCCTTCATTCTCAACAATCCTCTCATCCCGAATATACATATACACATCTCTCATCTGATCCGCTGGTAAATTCAGATTCCTGTGCATCCTGTTAGTTTGCAATACCGTCTAATTGGTGAGAGAATTGTCGGTCAGCCAATGCAATACAGTTGTATACCTAAAATGAATATTGATCAAAGAATTGAATGAAATTATATTTTTATTCACATAACAATCAACAAGCTGATACAAAGTAGTCGACGAACACTACAAAACAATAAAATAAATCTATATCAAGATAAACAATTAATCAAACATTATATTCGTATATGAATCATGTAAGACCATATGTAAACATACGAACATTGACAGAGGCAATTAGGCTTGAGTTACCTGTGTTACTTATCAATTAGTATTCATCGAAGTCCTTGTTAGTCTGCAAATTCCAATCGATGATCTTCAAGCTTCCGGCAATGGCTTATTTGATGACAATACAACGCGACAACACATAATGGAACCTGTTCCACTAATTATCGTCGAGATATGACGGTATATGGGAAGTATTGGATTGCGAGAGTACTTGGGATAACATTCAATGTTGTTGTTTTTTAACCTCGCCCATTACCCTGCTACTTTAAAGGAAGCTATCAACCGATACTTGAAGACTCGACGCCCTAGAGTAACTTGTGACTTTAATACGTCACGAAGGAACTTATTACCGCACAGGAAACAAGCCAATTCACCATAAATACAGGACATATAAGTTCATTTAACTCGCAAAGAAACTCTCATTTGCCTAAAAAGCCTCCCTGAAACGGATCGTTTTGACCCATTTCGAAATTAGCACATACATGTAGGCTTCGTTTGGGGGTTTTGGGGTAGCAGCGCTTACAATGAGTGGTCAATGGCTACCTATTACATATGTATAACAACCGTAGGTCCAATATCGCTTTGTGGAATGATACCTTTCATAAAGCGCCTTACGCTACGACAAGCATGACTCTAAATAAGGCATTTAAGACAGGAGTAGCGCAGAACTTACCACTGACAGATTACCATCGCGTTGCCAAGAGTATAATGTTAAACATACAATTCTATTCTATTATCTAAAAGATTCATTATCCTACGTAATTTGCTGCTTACATTTGGTGAAACATCATTACTTCAACGCATAAACGTTTCATTACTTAAGAAGAGTCGGTAAACTTGGGGAAGAGAATTTATTAAGTGTTGGCTTCCATTGTCTATTGCGAATCATCTATCAGCGCCAATTATCTGTTGGCTTCCCTTGTTAAGTTTCCAGCTTTGTTATCTTATTACTTTGGTTGGTCTTACCTGTACACATGTGAGACCTCTGCCTCATAGCATTCATTCATCCGATAGAGGAGTAAGTACATACTCCGAAAAGTTGTGTTCCTCAAAATGAAGAAGTTGACATCCATAAATTCTCTTCCTTATGTGTGTCATTTCTAAATGCCTTTCAAAGACTTGGGTCGGTATACGTCTCTAAGTGTGGCATCAATGTCAAACTACGGCATTGGGCTAGCTATAACACATTATATACAGCATTTGTCTTGACTGGTACAAGCACGCTACCACAAACACTTACATGTGCATGCACGTCGCTAAGTGTATAGTAGGGCAATACTCTTGAACGCGACTTTTAAACCCATTTCACCGTGATCTCACGTCATAGTAAAGGTATCTCATCACGTTTTATTGCATTTAAAATGTCAGTATTCTACCTATTTCATACAAGGAGATTTGATTTGCGCTTCGAGTAAACGAGGTTTCCCTATGTAACAGACAGTGAGTGTGTGAGTTTTAGCAATATTCCAAATACATTTCGGAGGCCCTGAATAAACAAGTGAGGTCAAGTCAACAACGTGACTGAAAGCGTAAACGGTGTGGATTATCCACGCAATCGGGGATTGATGATACGGAATCGGGGTGCGATGAATGACAAGACACAATTGGGATACGGGGAATGACAAGACACAATTGGGATACGGGGAATGACAAGACACAATTGGGATACGATGACATGCAATGGGGGGATGGTGACACGCAATCACACGCAATCGGCGAATAATGACACGCAATCGGGGAATGACAAGACACAATTGGGATACGATGGTATGCAATGGGGGATGGTGACACGCAATCGGGGAATGGTAACACACAATTGGGATACGATGATATGCAATGGGGGATGGTGACACGCAATCGGGGAATGGTAACACACAATTGGGATACGATGATATGCAATGGGGGATGGTGACACGCAATCGGGGAATGGTAACACACAATTGGGATACGATGATATGCAATGGGGGATGGTGACACGCAATCGGGGAATGGTAACACACAATTGGGATACGAAGACATGCAATGGGGGATTGTGACACGCAATCGGGGAATGATGACACACAATCGGGGAATGGTAACACAATTGAGATACGATGACATGCAATGGGGAATGATGACACACAATCGGGTTACGATCACACGCAATCGGGGTACTGTGATACACAATCTATTCTATTCTAATCTGGAGCAACTAAGGGTAATATTACTTGGCAGATATGACATCTTAGACATCATTCACAGAGGTGCTACAAGACACTAACAAGAGCACCAAAAAGCCCCATTCGAAAACATATAGCACTGGGTTTATCGTTTAGTAAGACCTTACACAACATGGCATGGTGCAGTATACAGAAATACAGAGGACGTTTAAAAGCCTGTTGGTAAGGATGTCTGCTGTTGTAATTTTGTGTTCACTGCGCCACCATATATATTTTACTATCTGTCAGCATTACTTGCAGTACTTAACATGTTATGACCAAATGTCAGGAATTTGACAGATGTTATTTGTATTATTTTAAACACTTTTCCATATCTCAGACAGACTGTCTTTGTGTCGTTGGTTTACATTGGCGTGAACAGATTACATCAGTGTCCACTGTCCTGTACTTACAACAGATAAAGGTCTTTACAATACTGTAAATACGCCTGTGTGAACAATTGTTTCAATCTCCATGTATAGACAAACGATCAACAGCTTCACAATTGTTTCCATTGTCCTGCATTGACAAACGATCAATAGCTTCACAATTGTTTCCATCTCCCTGTATAGACAAACGATCAACAGCTTCACAATTGTTTCCATTGTCCTGCATTGACAAACGATCAATAGCTTAACAATTGTTTCCATCCTCTTGTTTGGACAAACGATTACAGCTGTTTCCATCTTTCCGTAGGGATACAAGATTAACAGCTTCACAATTGTTTCCATCGTCCTGCATGGACAAACGTTCAATAGTTTTACAATTGTTTCCATACTCCTGTAGGGACACAAGATAAACAGCTTCACAATTGTTTCCATCGTCCTGCATGGACAAACAATTACAGCTGTTTCCATCTTTCCGTAGGGATACAAGATTAACAGCTTCACAATTGTTTCCATCGTCCTCCATGGAAAAACGTTCAATAGTTTTACAATTGTTTCCATACTCCTGTATGGACAAACGATCACAGCTGTTACCATCTTTCTGTAGGGACACAAGATTAACAGCTTCACAATTGTTTCCATCCTCCTGCATGGACAAATGGTGACCATATGTCGATATTAGACAAATACGAAACATGTCACACTATCGTGTTCTCTTTGCTAATCCTTTGGTAAAATGTTTATATCTACAAGTCACAATATTTCCAAAGAATGTTCTGCACATATGTCACTGTGATTAATTGATGAACCCCCATATTATAGAGCCTGCACATACGTTTTATATCCTCCAAACACTTACGTGCCAACACATCAGATATATATTCTTGATATACCCATTCGCTTGTTCAAAGCTGGTGTCAGAACTCAAAGTGAATTAATCCATGAATCGTTGCTTTTCTTTTCCTTTTTACCCTTTTTACATTTACGTTTGGTAGTTAAAAGTTGGCATTCCACGATGCAAGAAATAATTACTTTTGATGTTGTTGGCCCAGGAAGCTTTCCTTATATCACTATTCCTGTCAAAGGATGACTGAACTTAAGTCATGCTCATAGATGTGTTTCATCTCACTCGTCCGTCGCTAGACACATGAAATCCAACGAATCGTGAAAGTTCATTGACGTTTAGTCATCATCGCACATACTTCAGAACAGTTTGACAACATGGTTCGTGGTTGAGTAGTAGTTGTGTTGCTTCTCAGTTGTCTTGGGAGTCAAGTTGACTCGCCCATAGTGAAACGTTAACACGATGTTTAGTCATCATCACACATCCTTCTGAACAGCTTGACACCATTCTTCCTGAAGTTCTTACTTGTGATACTATAGACGAGGAAGTCAACGGCGAAGTTGATGAAGTAAGGAAACTGGCAGATCTGTTGTGCGAGGACGGTCGTGTGGTCATACATCCAGTGGTCTTTCATGACCAACACTCTCACAAGCAGGTACATTCTGATGGCGTGGCTGGGAAGATAGAGAACGACGAAAATACTGGACACAATTATAAGCATTTTCGTTGACCGTACTTGGGCCTGTGTCAGAACCCCTGGCTCCGACTGATGCATGCAGTACATGTGTAAAGGATGATGCTTAAGACGGAAATTCCGGACTGTTAAGATGATCCTGATGTTGAGGATAAGTATTGCTGTGAAAGGCACCACAAATGTTACTAGTGAGTCTATGTAAGTGAATATAGCGTTGAATTTCATGTACTGTTCTCTCGCTGAGCAGGATGGCCCGTACACGGTTACATTAACGTATGTGGATAGGAAACTGTGCACGTATAGACCAAGGGCAAAGCATGTGACCACACCCACGGCCATTCTAGACCTCTTCTTTGTTACATACCGTGGAGCTTTCAGGGGATGACAGACAACGACGAACCGCTCCACCATCATGAGCACGACATACCAGGCGGACAAGAAACTACACACATAGGTAATGTACACCATTGTGAGACAGAGACCCGGTGCCATAGCAACCCAGGGCATGAGACTGGTAAGCCAGGCCATGAACAGAGCTGCCAGGAAGCCAGTGTCTGAGATTGCCAGAGCGGCAAGGTAGAGTGAACAGGGCAGGAACCGGAACGTTGATAACGTGAAGACGAAGAAGGAACACACATTGCCGACGATTCCAAGGAAGCAGATTGTGGGGATAAGATATAAACTGATGGCATGGGCGATCTCTACAAGATGGTCTGTTCCGTTGTTGCCATATAAAGGGAACTGGAATTCTTGGGAAAAGTTGGTTTCCCCATGGTATTCGAGGATAGCGCCCAGAGACATTGTCCTGTTTGATTCGTCAGGTGTTGAAGGTTTCTTTCGTTATGATCCGTTCAAACATACAATAGTACAATACAATAGTAACTAAGCTGTGTCAGTGTAATGTCATATCAAGTTTATAGGATCCTAAGTCGTGAACCTTCTGATGCATGATACAGAGGTTGACTCTGTTTAAACACAAACAAACTGTCTCAAAATATGTTCTGACGAAACACAAACAAGGATTTGAACTAAATTCCTGGTATTTTGAACTGTTGATGTTACAAAATGACTTTTACAGGGCTATAAGCACCGAATGTTGTTCGCACGAAAAGGTTGTCTGGAGGTCAAAGGGGCGATTTGCTCTTCTGTGTCAGCACACTGGCTAAGGGGACTCAGAGAAGACGAAACTAACTTGAAGGCATGTTTCCATCAAAGGTCATCCCCGTGCTGTCGAGATAGGGCTTGATGTATGTGCATCGTCTTAACACGTGGCGTCTAATGCAGTAAACAACAGAAAAGGCCAATTTCTTGATCAAACCATTAGGGCGCTGTCATCTCTACTATGCAATCTCCATAATATATCATGGCACAGGGGACAAGTTTGTCGGGTCTTGTAGGAATATTAATTAAACCCAAGGGTTCATGGGAACATTAATTCAGTCACTGCCCCGTGTGTTTCTCTACATGGAGTGAAATTTTGTATAAATAGTCATATGTTACCATGCATGGGGTCGTCACTGTTGTGGTCAATAATTGTTGCATATGCTCACCACAAGTAATAATTTGTTAACACATTGGTTTGTTAATGCAATATGGATTGAAATTGCCACTGATGAAGGAAACCGTAAGCCAAGTATATTCTTGACTTTATCTTTATACAATAATGTTGGTTCCTCACTGTTGAAGTTAAGTAGTTACTCGGTGTCTGTTGCCATGGTCACTAATTACTGGATGTCTGTTGACCTTGTCGTATGTAAGCCGTGGAACTGTAATATGTAGAATATTGTCTAACCCCTTGAAAAAGTATCCGGGAAACATGGCATGAGCTAACTCAAGCAGGAAAATGTACCTCATTTACAAAAACGATTTCTGTTGGTTTGCCACATTGGTTACCATCCTCATAATTGTCAGTGTGTTGGGTGAGCTGTCAGACGTTGTCCACTTAAACAGCCCCAGAGTTAGAAACACAGACACTGGATAAGTATGACAAGAAAGTCAATCCACTTTGTGGAAGAAGCTAGTTTGGTGCCCCCATGTTCCACCAATATCGTCCATAAAGCTGAGTCAGATCTGCTCCAAGGTCCTGTAATGATATCAAAATACTTTAAATTAGACAGATAGAAAAGGCCTATGATTGCATTGACAACGACGGACTGTGTTACAACAGCACAGACGCTTGTAACTAAATTATCCAATTACAGTGGGAGACGGATATTATTCGAAAGGATTTCTTCGCAGGAAAACTAATTTCTGAAGCTTTAGCAAATCCTAGAAGAATCCAGATGCATCAAGATAGAGAAACTAAATAAAGATGACACGGAGTATTATTTCGATATATCTTCATTTGATATCTAGAGTGGATTATGTGCAAACATACATGACGAAAGCCGTTTAAATATGCATTGCTATACGCCAGCATGTATGGGTCTAATGTCAATATGGTTACGATTCATGATCATCAATCCGTCTTGTCTCGGAATCAATTAAAGAAAAACACGATTTTATTGATCTTGTATTTCCAACGAGTGTACGACGAATATATTGCAAGCCTGATGCTAACGGACATTTTATCAATAAGATGGTCAGGGATAGCCGGGTTCGTTACACTGACATATGCGTACACGATTTCCTGATTGTACTCAACACAAACGCAAATTTGAAGAACTCGTTCACCAGACATGGCCAATAATGTAGACATATTACACAGGCGTGAGTGTGTACTTTGACGTATCTTGCAACCATGTTGATTAAATCCCAGCACGAAACTTCCAACGTTTCCAAACATAAATGTTAAAAAAACTTATGCAAACATTACATTGTGCAAAAAGAAACAAATTATGTATCCGAGATGTCGCAACAAATTGAGTAGCAATATTTCAATGAAAATATTTATATATGTCTTTTGAAGTATGTAAATGTCAAATAAAGACGAAGTTGTATTGCTTTGAAACTGCCTGACTTAATCAGTTTGATAAATGTAATCAGCAGTCGTGCTTTGCTTCATTCGAAAAGTCAATATATTCAATTCATCTTTCCATTTTCAATTCAGATTTATCTCAGAATAATTCATGTACATGCATCCGCATCGGCTTTCCTAATTAACTGCCAATCATATTAGAGTATTCAAGACCAGGAAAACATTAAGTCCATATTTTCATGCATCTTAATCATCCATTTGACGCTGTAAATGGCTTAACCACATGATCAACGTGTAAGTGAATCAATATATCACAATCACCCAAATATGCCATTTGAAGCACATACACGATTACCTTCTGGCAAATGAGACAATTGTTGTATCTTTTATGCAATACGCTCTAAAATAATACACAAAATGCAAGTAAAATTACATTATACGAATACAGAAGTTGAGTACTTCTGTCAGATTCATATCTAAAGGAAATTCACTCGAATTATCTTTATGTCCAGTGCTACGACTTCCAGGAAATAGAATCTTTGTTTCAATAACGGTGCACGTTTGGTTACAGGTTGACAATGAAATGCATTGGGCGAATGACAAAACAATTTACTCGAATCATTTCTCATCATTATCCTTCATCTTTACACGATGGCCCCATGGCCTCTTAGAATATAGTGTTTCAATAATGGAGCACGTCTTGTTAAAGGTTGACATTGAAATGTCGAGGCAATAGACAATATAATATCAAACGTCAAACAGAGAAACCGATTGCATAGGGTGTAAAAGTCAAAATAGGGGTGAAATAAGCACATGAATGGATCACTGGAAATCAATGATGACATCTGGTGTACCCGAAAATCATATTGTACCAACAACACAAAATGCAATTATCTGGTGACTTCAAAACAAAATAATGTTCCACTATGCTACCATATCCTTCTTCAACTGAATACTGAATTTGCACCTGCTTCCGTTTTTCGCGAAAACCTGATTAAGGGTTGATCCATTCATATATACTTCATCACTATTTTGTCTCTTACGCCCTAGGGAATTTATTTCAGAGTAATTCGATACTTAGTAGATAAACCTACTGTGTTTCTAAGCGTAGAACTAGGTTACAGGTTGATTCAACCGCGCCAAATTTAATTTAGGACCGAATGAATAGTGTGAGGTTTCAATGTTACATTTAGCGCCGTATATCTACAGGTAATCCACCTCTGCATTGACAACACAGTATGTTTATCTCTATTCTTCCATGACAAAAATGAAACGAAACTATTTGGGGTTAGCAAAGGCCGCATGTGTTAAGTCCAATGTTTTGAATGGGTTATAGAACTGAATGAAGGAAACACCGATAATAGCCTTTTAAAGAAAATTTGGTATATTGTGTTTTATCATACTTAACTGGCATATAAAAACAGGCATTGGAATTATGTGACACAGCTCCTTCGCAAGCCATCGCGAAATGTTATATGTAACAAACATTAGCTACCTCTAATCAGCAGGCGTCAAATTGGCTGTTTCAGCCAGAGGTGGTCATTGTGATTGGGTACTTCTCGTTGACCAATCAGAATCAAGTAATTATATAATTCATGGTACAATGATAATTTACTTGCAATTTGAATCGCGTAGAATTAACATCAGATGACGTTGTGACCCTTGGCTACATCATGTTGAGACTACATGCATGCTCAGTTATTAATGGAACGTGCATGGTCTCTCTCTACCACTGACAGTAGGGTTGCCCTAGTCGTCTAAGGATTTGCAATTCGCTGTGCAGAGTTGTCCCCCTTACGCGCGCCAGAAACCTAAGATCGTAGGTTAGAATCCCCTAAATTCCAACACTGTTGACATAAATCAGCATTCATTCATTACATACATTATTGGATTAGGTGATGTTTATATGATATGCCATTTATCGCGTTTATCAAATTAAAATGCCTGTTTTCCTTGAGTTAGCATGACAGGGGTCGTTTTGTAAGAAGCTGCACTACTGGTCTATGCGAAAAATAAAACTCAACACCTGTTTTAGTTCGTATCGATTTAACTTCACTGTATCATACTTATCCTGAGTGTCACGTTCAAGTCAGAACCTATTGCCTTTTACCGCTAGTCATTATACTGGCGACATGATGGGTATTCTAAGATGGGCAGTAACACTTCTAGTAGCTTTGGGTTTTTTCAATGGCGTAAATAGGTATATTCTTGGCCATGAAAGCAAATACGACCGCTAATTATGTCTTTTTCCGGAGATGAGAAACAACCAAATGACATGGATAGTCTTGGGTACATGGTCAAGTAAAAGTTTCAAAGTGGAACTCCATCAGCCAACCATATGATCTGTGCTCCGCGCTTAGCAGTAAGACAATCGTGACTCCAAGGGACGGATCGAAGATTTTAGGAGGGTTCAAGTTCCCACTTCAGTAGGTGGTGGGAGGTGGGTGGGTGTGGTGGTGGTGGTTATGGTGGGCTATGTATGTATGTGTACCTTTATTAATCATACTTACAACAGCCAAATCACAAATCGTCATGGTAGGCAAATTTCATCAGATGTGAAAAAAGTGGGGTGGTAAGCCCAGACCACCACACACACACACACACACACACACACACACACACACACACACACACACACACACACACCGCCACCACACACATACTTTCTTTTCTTCTCGTACTAAGGACATATACTTTCAGGATACCATGATCTGATTTCAGAGCAGCAACAGACACTTCCTCTTACTGTAAAATATATAGTTGTAGGTTTCCCACTCATGTCTTGACGTTGTGATTATTAGTGAGTGAGTATGGTTTTACGCTGCTTTTAGCAATATTCCAGCAATATCACGGCGAGGGACACCAGAAATTGGCTTTACACATTGTACCCATGTCGGAAATCGAACTCGGGTCTTCGGCGTGACGAGCGAACGCTTTCACCACTAGGCTACCCGACCGCCCCACGTTGTGATTAGTATAGTGTGGGACATTAAGACATTCTCAGTGTAATTGGGTTAATAATGAATTGTTTGAGAGATCCATATTATACGATTTCAAATAACAGACACACAAGGTGGAGTTTCAATGACTTCAGCCTTCTGGGACTGCCAATTAGCCCGATCCCAGTCTCCTATAATAAATATGTTCGGCATTAGGTAGCGATCGATAATGACTTTGTTTTAGCTAGCTAGGGTTCCGATAATGACAGGGTCGTCCGAACCTCATCACAGTTCTCATAAAGTTTATCATTTATGGAAAAATAAACACATTTCTTCATTGCACTTGCAATGGCCGACTTGTTACAAGAGTCAGTGAGCATGAATTGGGATTTAACTTTTCAACAGTTATATATGTCAGCTCAGTGTAGGACATGAGGCAAAAGCCGAAAGTGATGCAGATCACAAGTTAAATACTTGTACTTGATGCAACTGGTGCTGACAAGGTATGGATCAAAAATGAGTAAATATTGGGGTGCGAACCCAACCAGTAGATTCTGGCAAAACCAACATACAGAATATTTACTGTCAAAAGACGCCCCAGACCTCTTGTGCTCACATGGCCCAGTGACCACATGTCTGGGATATTCTAACGACAGAAAGTAAATCAATATGTAATGATGAAGCTGAGATTCATTCAACCAAATGCCAATTCGTCAAAGATACAGCGTCAGACAAAATTGAAATTAATTTCCAAAGTAAACTGGATGGTTGTGCAGCATTCTGATTGGTTGAAAAACGTGGTTAAATGGGATTCGATTTCTTTTGGGTCTTTTCATTGCGTGTGAATGATTTTAATAACATCTTTTTTAATACATGACACTTGTAATAGATAGCAACTTTCTTGCTTTGTGCATAAAAAAGTGTCATGTATTCATGTTCTTCAAACTTCTAAATACCTATGAAAGACATATGTTTTCTCTCAATCCAAAATATGAAATAGAAGTGTCCTTCGTTTTGGAGAAATGAATACCACGTTAAGTAAATATTATGTTCGTTCAATATTTATCAGATCAAATTCTATTTCCTCTTTTTCACATTCTGCTTACCAGGAGTTCAGTTACAACCGGAGAAGATGACGTCAGATATCTAATTATAACTTTTTTGGTATTTTACAATATCGATAAACATTATGTTTTTTTCAGAATTCTGATATTGTTTATCTCATAA